AAATCGCGGTATACCTTGAAACCGGTAATCGGCCCATGCCTAAACAGGACCAAAGACTCTCTGTATTTTTGTGAAGATTGGTTATTCAATTCATGACATTTGACAACATAAGGTGAATGTGTATAAAATAATAAAAATGATAAATAATATAATATTACAATTATATTTATTATTAGTAGTAGTAGTATTATTAATCTAAACTTACAAAAAAATAAATGTTGTTGTTTTAATTACTCCTTTTTATTTTATTAAATTTTTTGTCATTTAGCTTCCAATTCCCATTAAGTCAAATAACATGGAGATTATGGATTTATAATATGGATTTATTTTTTTATTTATTTTTATAATTGTAGTCAATGTAGACTATATATTTTTAGATTTGTATTTTAGATTTGTTTTGAAAGGTATTTTTACTAATTTAATTTCAAATTTATTTTTTTATGTATCAAAACTTCTTGAATGAATAGAATAAACTGAATTAATTGCATAATTCTATAACATTTTTATAGCAAACCAGTTGAATATATTGCAATTAATCATGCCCCCTGTGCCATGTATACAGTCCATAATTAGGGATTTCCCTACCATTGGAGCAATAGAGCTGTTCACTTGTGATTTATGGCATCAATTTTCAGGCCAATCCGGAAGGCTAATTCTGCATGGGTTCCCTTGGGAATTTTCCTTGCGGTTTTCAATTTATGAGTAAAATGAGGTCTGAGATTATTATTACTTGAAGAGACTTTCACATTTTGTTCTACAACATACAATAAATAGCATATAGTCATACCTCAAATGTGATCTTGTTTATAAGCAAACATTGCATTTTAAATGTAAGTTGCTAAGCAGTTGCCATATAAGAGCTATAATGTAAAAAAAAACAACTTATTTTATCATTTGAATCTTTTAAAGTGTAATGGCTTTGTCTTTAAAGGGTCATGAAACCCCAGACTACTTTTTCTGAGATTTTAGCAGAGGTGTTTGTGTTGCACATCATAGAAGACAATGTTAGCATTCGATAGTACTAACTGTTGGAGAAAACTGGTTAATTTTAAGCTTTTTAGCTCTATTTTCATCTTCCGGGTAGGGTTGTGACGGTGAGGAAATTTTCCCACCGGTTAATCGACGTGTGACAACACCGGTAATGCCGGTATCATCACGGGGGTGGGGGCGTTCCCTCTTTTCCTCGCTTTCCTTCGCTTTTAAATAGCTT